GCTTACTGCAAGGGCATCCCTCTGCTCAAGGAGCACAGGAAGATGACAGGGAACAGCCACCATGGATTTACCAAGGACTGATGATGCCTGAAGAACACAAGAGCTTACTGCAAGGAGATGACTGGCTTAGCAGAGGATGGAAGAGCACAGGACACAGAAGGCCATTAACAACAGTCTCCCACAGCATCCCTACAGTCAAACTGGTGAGACTGGCATGGGGGAAGGGAGCAGTGAGGTGTTTGGGAATTTGCCTGGACCGCTGAGCTGAAAGAAAAGCTACAGCTGTACCAAGCTCCATCCAAGCAGTTGCAGTGGCATCCTGTAGGGATCACCTGAATGAAACCAGCAGTACCACCCAATATCTTTAGGAATCATCTAGATGATGGGACAGGCTGCATCCTCAGGAAGTTTCCAATGACACCAAAGTGGGAGGAGTGGTCAGCTCCACTCAGACCTGGCCAGGCTGGAGAAAGGACCAGCAAGACCTTGGGAAGTTCAGTGAAGGCAAGTGCTGAGTCCTGTATCAGTGGCAGAACAACCTTCTGTGACAAGACAGGCTGAACACGAACTAGATAAAGACTCACTTCTTCAGGAAAGTATTTGGAGATCCCAGCAGACAAAACTCTGGAAACAAGTCACCAGTATATGCTCATAGCAAAGGCACCTGAGCACAGCATGGGCTGCATGCAGGAGTTCAGGCAGGAGGCCCAGGGAAGGATCAGTGCCCTCTTTTGAGCACCTGTGAGGCCGTGTTTGCAGTGCAGCTCCCTGGTGCAGGACTCACACAGACACTCTGGAGCAGGTCCAGTGGCCAAGCTGGCCAGATGGCAGGAGCACATGGTGTACAATGAGAGGCTGATGGAACTGAGTTTGCACAATCTGCTCAAGAAAAGAGCTCTACAGAATCCTTATTACTGTTAGCTCTCTAATGAAAGGCTGCAGAAAAGAGAACTGGACTCTTCTGGATGATGGGCACTGACATGTTAATAGGCAACAGACACAAGTTGGAGAGTAAATTTCAACTAGCTTAAAGGGAGGGAGGAAAGAAAAAATCACTGTGTGCAGTCAAATGTGGAAACAGATTGCCCAGAAAAGTGTTAAAGCCTGGAACAATCTTATCTAAATTATTCCTACTTTAATATATGCAGGGAGCTGGATTAGGTGACCTCCAGAAACCCCTTCCAACCTAAATGACTCTGTTTTAGGAATTTACTATTTGACCTGCCAATTATTCTATATTAGAAACTTTCCTTCAGCAGGTTTTGCATCAGGTTTATTACTTTCAATCATGTGTTTCAAAATTCCAGTTCTCCTGTACATACAGTCAGCCTACATCCAGTGTTGTACACAGAAATGTACCTATCTCTTATCTTCTTGCCCTCAGAACTTCTTCCCTTTGTACTGCTGTGCTTCCCCCACAAACAGGGAACATGTTTTCAGCATCAGAAAAATTCTGCACTTTTAAGCCTACTTGATCTTAAAAAACCCACACTTTCTTCAATATTCTGGCTCATGATACAGGGGTGACAAGAGCAGGAAAGCAGATGGCTGTGGCCCATCTCATTGTGGCAAAAGCTGCTTTTTCCCTCTGACCACTTAAAAACATTAGAAAGACAGTTATGCTACTTTTTCCAAAGAGTAAGAAATATTCCATGAAAGACACAATCTAACATGTTTTCCACAAGGGCCTTACTCAGCTCTCAGAGCAATCTATTTTACTAAGCAGATTTTGGTGCCCCATTTGTGTATTTATGTTCTGTTTACAAACAGTCACACCCAACAAACTAGTTTGTCAGCATCACAAAGTCCCCTCTGGGAACACTCCTGACAGCAAATTTAAATAAACACCTTAAAAGCCACAGAGCTTTTCTAATAATCTACACATTGCTTTTGTTTCTCTTTAAAGTTAAGAATACAGAAAGAAGGTGAAATAAGTAATTTTCAAAGGTGTCAGTCTTTTTTATGGACTAGGACTCCATCAAAGAACAAAGAATCCCTTCACCAATGCAATTTACAATAATGGCTCCTTCAACAGCTGTACCAGTATAACAGAGTAAGATTGAGACTGGAACAAACTGCCAAAGGAATGAATTTCAAAAAACACATCTTGTCAAAATATACTTGAAAACAACTTAACCTTCACTAAAAGGACCTTCAGGAAGCTCAATGTTAATGCCTGAAAGGTGCATTTTAATTCTCACTTAATAGGTCAAGATTAAAATTCATGGGGAGAAGCTGAGAATTATTACAGGAATGATTAGTGTAGCTGGTGGCCCAAAGAGCAAACAAACCTTCCATGGTGTATTTCCACACATTTTTGCATCCTTTTTGTTAAAAGCACCTTTTTTTTTTAATACCAAGATCAAGAGTGCCAATAAAACCTATCAGTCCATGGGGTGCATAAAATGAGTATAATCCCATGACAAATTAATCTAGACTAGAAATCAGAAAGTGTGTAATTACTAAGGTCAGTCAAGTTTGAAATAGCCTTCCTATTACAGCAGAGGTAATAGCAATATACAACTAATTATTTTGAAATTAGAGCTGAACAAATTTACAAAAACCCCTAACAATGCTGAGATCACTCCCTGAAATTAGGAACTCACCAGAAAGTTCAGAGAGCAGAACAGATGAACAAAGGAGAGAGAAGAAGAAACCCACAGTAATTTCTGCGGGCCCATGGAAGAACACAGACACACAGATGGCTCTTGAGTCCATTTAGTGTTGTCAAAAGCCAATAAAAAATTACACCATGGCTTCATAATCAATCTAAGACAGTAGTGACAGAAAAAAACAGAGCCCCCACCCTTACTATCATTGCTACCTTCACCACAAGTGAATCAAACCCACAGTGTAGGTTCTTCTAGCAGCACTGGCTTCTGCCATTTACTCAGTGACCACAAAGCCAGGTCCCAGCTAAGGACATCACAACACCTGAGACTGCTCCACTCTCTCCCCTGCCAACACAACTTCCTCCTCTGGACTGAGCCCTATCCACATGGCCAGGCAAGTGAGCTGGGTCAGGAAGTTGTTGCAATCAGAGTACCTCAGGGAACAGAAAAAAGAGAAATAGAAGTACATCTTTTTAACCAGATTAGTTCTTTTTACTCACTTCCTGGCTGTGGAAGTCCCTTTGATGAGACAAGAGAAGGAGCAGCCACAATGCAGACTGCCTTGAAATGCCAGGGAGTACACCAGGAACACAAGAGAGCCACACTGTAAACTTGATCTTTTTGCAATTCCCTTACTAACACCACCACAACCTAATCTGTGAATCACTTTTTAAAGAACTGAATGCTATTTTTAACAAAGCAATACATTTCACTATAACCATCTTAAAGCAAACACTACAGAGCAATTTTTACAGTTCTCATATGTACAGCCAAGCTGTTCATAGCCCCTGAGTCCTTTTGGAAAAAAAAGCAGTTGTTTTAAAAATCAAATAAATAAAACAAAACTACCCAGCATGATTTTCCACCTCTGCCTAAAACAGAAGGAAGTAGTGGAAGGCTCTGTCACTCATGAGTTTTGGGGTTCATCAGCTGGTGCTGGCTCCTCTCCAGACACTCACTGGCAGGATTCTGACAACACTGGAGTCAATTTGTGCTTACTGTAACTGTATTTGTAGTCTTTTCAAGTTTAAACTACAAAGTAAGTTATTAATCATATAATTATTACCATCTAATCCACATAAACAGAGTTAGCTACAATCCAACTTAAAACCTAGGCAGAGGCATAATTTGCAGAATCAACCTTATAGGCCCAGTAAACCTTTATACAATCTGGAGCCAGGTTGGTCTGACAGGCAGTCAGGATTGGGCCTATATCACAGAGGTTTGGTTAAATAAAGCCACAGCACCTTCTCTGCTTTTAAAAGAATAACAAAATGTTGCCTGTACCATCAACAAGACATCTCTCTGGAAACTGAAAGCGCACCTGCCCTTCTGAAAGTTTTAGCTGAAAAACATCGTGGTTGTGAGACTAGAGCATGACAGTGAGAGAGACAAACAATGCTTACCCCTAAGCAAGTTATTTCTTAATTGTCACTAGATTTTTTTTTTTCTCTGTTTTAAAGAAGAGTTTTGAATCTTTTTTCCCCCTCCTAGGCACACGATGGATGGATACAGCTGTGAAATGCGGTAGGATATTCCTTATTCACAGTACTAGCAAATCAAGCACTCGTGGCGACACAGCTTCGAGAGAGTGACAGCAGGAGCAAAGTACACACGACACTGCAGGAACTTGTGCAGGAGGAGAGTCAGCAAGTCCATTTCCTTCACTGCCGTCCCTGCTTCAGGTGGTACCAGCAGGTTTTCAAGTACTTTTATCTAAAGACAAGAATTTTGTACCAGCTTACGGGTCGGGAGAGAGTGGAAAAGGGCTTGAAAAAATAAAACAAACCCCCAGAAATGAAACAAACAACCGAGGAAAAAAGACAAAAAAAGGGAAAAGACAACCAGCCGAAAACAAAATATAACGTAGACGAAATTAGATGAAATTGAATGAAATTGAATAAAATTGAATGAAACAGAATTAAACTGACGCATGCAGACGCCCAGATTTAGGACAGTACTTTGCTAGTCCGGGCTCTTGGGAAGTGACTTCACTTTTCCCGCGGAGGAGGCAGGGAGATGAACGCTTCCACAGCGCTCTCGCATTCCTGACCACGAAAACAACTTTATTTTTTAAATCCTGCCCTGTGCTCCAGCTCCTCTCCTCCCGGAGCGCCGCTGCCCAGGGAACTCCACACGCACAGACAAACACCAAATAACACGAAGCGGCGGAACCATCGGCCCGCGGCCAGCGAGGAGCCACCTCAGGTCAGCGGGCACGATCTATCTGTCTATCCCCCGTCACACGGGCTGGGCCGGCGGCTCCCTCTCCTCCCGCGCCCGTTCTCCTGAGGGAGCGGCGACCTCCCCGCCCGCGCCCCTCATGACACCCGCTCCGCCCCGCTCGCCCCGGCGGGGCAGGCCCGGGACAGCGTCGCGATCTCTCACCGCTGCAGCCGGGCCGTCTTCCCCGCGCTGCCGCTGCCTCCAGCCCGGCGGGGCCGCGCAGCCGCCTCAGGGCCGGGACAGCGTCGCCCACATTCCGGCGGCGAGAGGGCGGGCGGGTGCGCGCGCACGGCTGGCACGGCGTGAGGGCGGGAGGGAAGGAGGGACGGCGGAGGGGCGGCAGGGCAGCCGCTCTCGGCAGCCCGGGGCCGCTGCGGGCTGCCCGGAGAGTGCGGAGAGCGAGCGGCTCCGCGGCCGGCCCAGCCCGGCTTGCTGGCTTGTGCAGCCCCATGGGAGTGCCCCCTCTGGGACACAATTATAGAATGGTGTAGGTTGGAAGGGGGTTTAAAGACCATCTCATCCCAGCTCCTGCCATGAGCAGGCACAGCTTGCACTAGAGCAGGGTCCTTCAAGCTCCGTCCAGCCTGGCCTTGGACACTTCGGGGATGGGGCAGGCACAGCTTCTCTAGGGAACCTCTGGCAGGGCCTCACCACTCTCACGGGGAGAAATTTGTTCCTAATATCTAATCTAACCCTGCTCCCTAGTGGTAAGCAATTCTTCTGGGTCCTGGTAAGTACATGCTGTTGTAAGTAAATTCTCCCTCTAAGTTCCCTTCGGGTACTGAAAGGCCACAATGCCTTCTCTTCACCCCAAAGCCTTCTCTTCACCCCAAAGCCTTCTCTTTTCCAGGCTGAACAATCCCCACGCTGTCAGCCTTTTATAACAGCAGAGCTGCTCCATCCCCCTGCTCAGCCTGGTGCCTCCTCTGGATATTCCAACAGGTCCGTGTTCCGCCTCTGCTGGGACCCAGTGAGGTCTCACCTGAGCAGAAGGGCAGAATCCTGCCCTGTGCTGCTGCCCACACTAATTTTGATAAATGCTTCTCTCCCACCCATCAGAAAGCATCCAGCAGGCACTGAAACGTGTCAAAATCCTCTCCCACAACTGAAGGACAATGGAATCAACCTATAAATCATGGTGCTCTTTGGCAAAAATGAATTAAGCTTGGCTTCAGATTTTGTACCCTGGTCTTGCCAAGTGGGGTAGATTGTGTTTGCTTGGTGGTTTGGTGTGGTTAAGCAAATATTTTAAAAGTAAATATCTATGCTTAATTAAGTATCACCATTGTTTATGTTTAAATAAAATATGTTTAAATTACGACAGCTTGTCTTGTTGGGTTGTGTGTGAAACAAATTACATTTAAATTACCCCCAGCATCTATACAGCTTGTCTGTGTTCTCCCCATTTCAGATGCAGTTCAGCAAAATCTTAAGGAATGTCAGGTCACAGCCTTCAATAAAACAACTTTAGCATAAAAGCCAGTGGTCTGTGTCCTGTTGCCCCTGGGACAGCCAGACTGCCCATGTAGGCATTGATTTTAGGCTGTTTTCTTGTCACTGGGGGCGAGAAGGTTGTTTGTTACACAGTCTTTTTTGAGCTGAACTGTCATAAAAAAGCCTGTCTCAAAGGCAAGCAGGCAAAGGAGAGCATTTCACAGGAAAAAAAAAAAAAAAAAAGAAAAGCCAGACTCTCTGGCCAGCTCCCCATTTAAGAATTTTTACTATTGGTCTATAAATGGTGTAAATTAATTTACCTCCAGATTACTTTTATCCCACCACAGGTTTAGATAAACCACAAAAACATGGGGAAATCAGAAGAAGTCAGGGAGAGGAGGAAAATTATTTTAATGACTATGGCAATAGAGAAATAATAGTAAGAAGAGAGTATCCCTGGCACTGTACCCAGGCACTGCAGACTGGTGTAGGAATAAACAGGTGGGTGATAAACAGGAGGAACAGAAAATCCAAAGAAGGGATAAGGCAAAGAAGGGGCAAGGGAAGGACAGGGAGGGGCAAGGTAAGGTATGGTAAGGAAAAGCCGAACAAGGGAGGGGCAAAACAGGGCAAGGGCAGGCAAGAGAATGAAGGTGAGGGGGAAGGCAACAGCAAGTTAAGGCAAGGCAAAGAAATAAAGGGAGGAGGTCAGGCAGGCAAGGGATAGGCAAAGGAAGGAAAGCAAGGGCAGGATAATGGAGGGAGGAGGAAGGAAGGCAAGGCAGTAGAGAGGAAAGAAGGGGCAAGGCAGAGGCAAAGCAAGACAAGGCAAGGGAGGGGCAATGAAAGGAAAATGACAGCAAGACGAGGGAGAGGTAGGCAAGAAAGGGCAATGGAGGGGTAGGTAAAGCAAGGGAGGGGAAAGACAAAGAAGGGGCAAGGCAAGGAAAGACAAGGGAAAGGAAAGAGAGGAGTAAGGCAAGAGTGGAGCATGAGATGGGCAAAGAAAGGAAAGTGAATGTAAGGCAAGGGAGGGGCAAGGGCAGGCAATGCAAGAGCGGTCATGGGGGACAAGGATAGGCAAGGCAGAGGAAGGGCAAGGTAAGGGATGGGCAAAGGAAGGAAAAGCAAGGTAACACAATGGAGAGGCAAGGTGAGAAAACACAAGAGAGGCAAGGCAAGGGAGGGGCAAGATGGAGGCAGGGAAAGGCAAGGAGGGGTCAGTCAGAGAGGCAAGGTAAAGCCAGGCAAGGGAGTGGCATAGGAAGGGCAAGTCAATACAAGGCAAAAAAGGGAAAAGGGAGAGGAAAGACTGGGGCAAGGGAGGAGAAAAGCATGGCAAGGAAAGTAAGGGGTAACAGAAGGGCAAGGCAAAGAAGGGGAAGGGAAGGGAAGAGAGGGATAGATAAGGCAAGGCAACGGAGGGGCAGGGAAGGCATGGCAATGAAAGAAAGTGATAGGCACGGGTAGGCAACACAAGGTAGGAGAGGATAGGCAAGGAATGGGAAGGGTAGGCAAGTCAAAGCTTGTTTAACCAAGACAATATAAAATGTGTATCTTTATCAAGCTGGTCATCTCCAATCAGAGGTGTCTGTGCAGAGGTGCTTGGGCACAGGGGCCTTGATGCAAGGGTGCTTTGTTAGGGATGGTTCTCTTTCACACCTTGGGGAGTTTTCTCATTCATGCCTTGGGTAGTTTTCAGACCAAACCAGCTCTCAGGGGCAAAACTGCAACAAAACCTGTAAACTCTGCTAATAAATATGCTTTAAGTGCCCTTGCACAGAGGGTTCATGTGCACAAACACATGTGCATAATACCAGACAATACTGTAAGCCAAGCCAGGTGGTTATGTAAAGATGAGCATAGTAGTAGTATTAAGACTGCATAAGAAGAAACAAGTGGTAACATGGCAAAACAAACAAAAAGGCAAAATGTAGCTTCTTTCAATGCAACAGATTAATAAGATAAAAGGAAAAATATTAGTGACATTCATACAAATTTGTCAATTTACACCAACAAAGTTCAGCAAAATGGGACTGATCTCAGATGTAGAGTCTCTTTATCTTCCGGACAGATTCTTCCCACCAATCACTCCAACGCTGAATTGCCAGCAGCTGAGCTGCACTTTCTTCCTTGATCTGGGCAAACAGCTGTTCAACTTTACTTTTGTATTTCTGTATAAAAAACCCCAACAATTAAGGAAAAAATTAGTAGCGATGAAATATAATTTTATTTGCCTAAATCCAGGTACTGATCCATTGTGTCAGAAGACTACATAGAGGCTACTTATATTTTGCCTTTGACAACAGAACTATATGAATAATTAACTATTAGCTGTGTTCCTTCTGTGTTCCTTTTAAAGACTTCTGAAATTAAATTATCAGCAATATTTAAATTTTGCTAAAATGCAAGATCTTCATCTCACTTCCATTAGTTCCTAAGAGTAAGGAGTTGCCTTCTCTCAAGACAACACAGGATGCACTCAGGCTTTTGCTGGAACTTCTTAACTCAAAAGGTATGAACTGAGCTTTACAAAACTGCTAAAAAGTTATTTCCTCTAGACAGAAACTTGTAGACTACTAAAAAACCTCAAGGCACTTTATTATTCTTAAAGAGTCCATGCTAAAAACATAAAGTACTGTATTTTTAATGCAACACACATGTAGGAAAACACTCCTGTGGTGTGCATGCATTCTATATTCAATCCTTTTATCTAACCATTTGTATCCAAACAACCACATTCCCTTCAAATCTGTGCTGTAATCAGGTTCCTGGGCACCAGAACTAGATACACAAAACACACATACAAATTGATAGTTTTGATGGCATTTGCCATCATTGACAGTATATTTTACATTCTCCTATTAAAACCAGATATTTAAAAAAAAGTTAATTTAGTTCAGTGGGAGTACGATTACTTCCAGGTCAGATGTATAAAGACATCTCCAAGTGATTTAACATAAAAATATTCTCCTAACTGCTAAGCACTGCTGTTTTGAGAACCATTGTCTGTGCCAGTCAGAGGCAGAGTTGTCTGCGTTCTTTTAACAGACTCAGTAAAGAAAGAGTGATTATTTTGATGGTGAAAACAGTAATCTGTGATAGTTGTGGATATAAGATAGATATGAAATATTTTACAGCTCTTCATCTTTTATGGGAAAATCAGCTTTTGTGATCTAAGGCTGGAGCTAAAGGCTTCAGAAAGAAAGGTGAGTGAAAATGAGCAGGACTGGCACTGGGGCACAGCTGCTTTTGGAACTATGATGCTGCCAGAATGCAGTGTCCTGTTTCTGACACCATCCATACTTCTCTGCTGAAACAATTCCCCTTCGTCATGTCTCTGAATGAGAAGACTCCATGAGGAACCAGCCCTGTCTGCTTCTGACAGCATCACAAAGAAACAGACATGAGAAAAGATTCCTTCACACAGATATTATGGCCTTAAGATCAGCAAACATTGTGTACTTTAAAAACTTACACACACAGCTAAGATTCTGTAATTGTCTTCTTAAAAAACCAAACCCACAAGAGCAGCAGCCCACTCAAGAGTCCTTGCCCACAGACCCACCTCGTATGCAGCTTGTCTTGCATCCACCACTGCCAGATGGCCCAGGGTAGTCTTAGCTGTTGAAACTGATGCAGTTCCTCTGCAAAGAATATAGTCTGGAGTGTCAGGAACAGAAGTCTCGGGTATTCCTGGCCAAGACCTATAAAAAACCAAACCAACCAAATCAAACTCAGGAGAAAAGAAGTTAAAAAAGAGAACAGATCATACTAATTCATGTTACTTGGACTAAGGTGCCAAAGATCAATGTTATTTTTTTTCCCATAAAAGGTTCACTCTAAAAACATCTTTGTTTAGTACAACCACCTGTTCTTTTAAAGCATCAGGATCTCTCCACAGTATAGAATTAATTTCTTCTGAACAACAATACACAGACTATTCATAGATCTGAATGTAATGAATTGATAACTAGTGGCAAACAAGTGGCACAGCAATAGCAGTGACATGGTATTGTTCTACAATACTATATGTAATTCACTTTTATTTGGATCCATTGCAATCCTTTCTTTAAAATCATTGCCCACTCAAACTACTCCATTACTAGTTCAATAACATTACTAATGATGAGCTGCAGTTTCAACAAGTGCAGCAAAAAACTATTAGGACAGGGCTTGATATGAGTTCAGAGCAGAGGAATTAGCCAGAACAGTGTCCAGTATCTCTACATACTACCTCCTTCCTCGTCTGACTGACTGTTGAACTCGGGAGGTTCCTGGAGGAAGTTCAGACTGTTTACGACACATTAAAGTTGGCATCTTCTCAGGGGGTATTTCAGTTCCTGGGAGGTAACAGAAGATATGCTCAGCAGAAACAAAACAATGTCAGGAATACAAGTGTTTTGGAATAACTGTGCAACTCAATGCTCTTCACACTCAAGAAATAGCTTTGCATGCTTTATTATGCAAATCTTTTAATTTCAATCAAATAATAGCAAAGCCTCCTCTTCCTAGGGACAGACTGCTGCAACTTTTGACAAGGGAGAGGAGGCCTGAACAAGCAATCTCTTCTTTTCTTACCTGCTACTTTTACATCATCAACAGTGATGGTATCATCTAGGTCCAAGAGGAGCTTTTCAGTCAGGGCAGCCAGTGCAGAAAAAAAGCTCTGAGCACACTCAGCAGCACAATCCTGTTGCAACATTGGGAGACAAGTGAGAGGAATTCCTTTGATAATTGGATCTCCTCTCCTTTTAACTTGGCTCTGAAAGACTACACAAATATCAAACCCTGCCATTCTGCAGCAGCTGCAGATAACAGACATAAGGCTCAAAGTTGCATATAAAAGCATCTTAAAGTGTCTCTGCATATTCTCAACATTGCCTGGTATCTAAAGATCAAAAAACTGTAGAGTTTTGAGTACAGGTACCTAGTAGTTACATATTTGGGTTAACATGATAAAAACAGCTTCTAGCCAAAAAGATCATTTTGGAATTCAGGTACTTTGGGTGGAAGTGCTTAGCCCAGGTGTTACTCTCAATCAGGTATTTGTGTTTCTGTGCCTGTATGCAGAGTGAGGAGTAGAAGGAGATACTATGGAATTAAAAATATCAGTACTCTGCAGACAGTGTAGAATTTGGAGTAAGTGGCCTCAGAGAACTAAACAACAGGCTTTAATGCTGGGGAACCAACCTTCAATTAACCCAGGGATGAAGGGGGAAAAGTATTTTGATTCCTGAATCTCTCCTGTAAACTCAGCTTATTTCAGTTCTTCATCTTATGTAGAAAAGTGACATTATTTGCACTAATGAAATGCACAGAGAAGAAACCCTTCCAGGCATCTGTTATCTGGAAGTAAGAGAACTAACCAGAGGATGTCACCACCACAGCCAATACTCTTCCCCACTATTAAGCTCACAGACAGTAGATTCTATGAATGATATAAAATAACAGTAAGTTCCAAAATGTATCTAAGCAGTTGTGTGTGTGCAGATATATTTATGTCTATATTGATCTAATGCTGACAATACATCACTTAAGAGTTTAGCAGTATATGAACAGGATTGCTTAAAACTGAAAAAAATTTCAAGTTTCCTTTGGGGAGGAAAAATGTATCCAAAATTCACCCTTCTTGCCAAATACACCATTTAAGTTCACATTAAGCAAGGGCTTTACAATTACCTGCAGCATCTTTGTGTTAAGGTGAACACCATCAGTTTGATCTTTTTGCCTTTTTATCTCCTCTTGGCACAATGCCTCCATCTGAAGGCAGTTATTTGGGTGTCCTAGGGAGTAATGCAATTTTCTCCGGTGCGTAGTCTTGAAGCAAGTATGTAAGAAAGAAATGCCTTCAGTAAAGAATATACTGTGAGTCATAAAAAGGAAGAAATAAACCACAAACATTTTCTATAAAGGTATTCACAAAGACAAGGAAAATGGAGCTACTTCTTTGCTGTCTGGATATAAGCTTTGCAGTGCAATACGCACCAAATTGCCTCTCTGCTGGCCTCTGGTCTCACTTTGGGATTTATCTTCAATAAAAAATCATCTCTCCTACCATGTGGTAAATAAAGTATTTTTTATATCTCTGTATTTGTTATTTTAACCTAATTTTTAATACTCAGACACAATCTCAAGACACTTAGCATGTTCTGTGTGATCTCCATTATGATTCTGTTCTCAGTTCTGATATCGCTTGACAAAATTGCCTCTTTTATGAATGATGGTAAATATAGAATTTCATTATCCCTACATCACAGTTCTTACAGAGGAGTGCACCCATACAGTAGGAGCTGTCTGGCCATACTCCAAGGTCACAGCCACCACAGAGCTGACAATCCAAGTCTAAGATGACAGGCAGAGCCGAGAAGATTAGAAAGAGGCAGCCCAGTGCTGGAAGCTGGGAGAGAAGGGACAGAGTTCCACGAAATCCAAAGCTTCCAGGAGAACTAAGCAGACTAAGTGCAAACACAGAAAACTATATCTGTGGTCAGCTCAGAAGAGAGTGCTGAAGCAAACAGTGAGAATGAGAAAAATAAAATGTTATCACTCTGATGCACTTACCATGGGTTACACTACAAAGCATTCCAGAATGCCCATGATACATACCTTCATATCTTCCCAATCTTTCAGCTGTCTGTTGAAGAGATGCTGAATATGACCAGTAAAAGAGCTGAGCTTTTGCTCATGTTCTTTTAAAAGACTTTCCACAACCAGTTGGGAAACAGAAGAGAGCTCCTCCTCAAACCACTTCAGCTGATCCTGAAATTCTTTTTGGAAAAGACAGGGTGTGCATGTGACACAAACAGCCTGGAATTTTTTCTCCCAGAGATTGTGTCCCTGACATTCCTTTTTCTAGGTGCAATGCTTTGAGAAACATACACTTACTCAAAGATGTGACTTTGTACAGGTCTTTTAACTTAGTCAAGTGCCCTTTGCTACACTTTTTGTAGCTGATAAAACATACAAAAAGAATATTGGCTCAATTTCCAGTAAAGTCAACTGGAGTTTTTCCACTGAGTGTCACGGATTACGACAACAATGTAATTCTTGCTCACTGCAATTTTCACCTTACATACACATGAAAATTACATACAAGAAAATACAAGTCTTAACTGAATGAATTTACCTCCAAGACAGAAATTGTAGTAATCATCTGTCTGCCTTTGGTATGACAGTAGTTTCACTCTGATCATTTCTGCCCAATGTTCAAATGTGTCTGGCAGATCGTCAAGCATTCCCAAGTAAGGATTCTTCTTGTCTCCATAGAACTCCTGCAGAAGGGAAAGATAAACCAGAAAAATGTTGATAACACATTTAAACACATCATATCTAGGTAAGTAACAGTAGAAGAAGAAAGGAAAATTTCTGGACAGTCTACCAAATATTGAGAGAAGCAAATAATTTCTCTGACACAGGAGCACACCTATGAAAGCAGAACTGACTAAAGAACATGACATTTCCTTACCTCACCAAGGCAGAGCAAGGTGTTGTTACCATTCCAGAGAATATTCATAATAATCCCCTTAAAAGTACTGAAAACCAAAAAAATAATAAAAAAAATTAAAATATCATCACACTGTTAAATAATCACACTGGCAATATTAATTGTTTTTCTAGTATTTTGTTCAGGTTAATTTTAGTACATTTTTCAGAGCATACACAAACCAATGTTCAGAATGCCTAAGAACCTTCCCCCACATTAGCACAGATTCTCTTCATATGCAGCCAGGACAAGGGACTATTGTAATTGCTCACTGGAGAGCACTGCCATGTCAGTGTCACAAAAAAGCAATCTTAGCCAAATTCCTGTGCCCAAAGAGCTTACCATGCATTTCAGATAAAGCAAAAATATTTGAAGGTGGGTCTAGCTGTTTACTGGAATTATTTTGAAACACTTTATGGAATAAAATTCCCAAACACTTAAACATCTTAAGCAATAATTTGAATAGTTTTGCATGGCATGTACACAACATCTCAGTACTATAGACTATAGTTGTACATATGAAGAAACAATATATTAATTTTCTTAGAGAAGGGGAATGGAACCTTGTTTATTCCCATTAATGGAATACTGAGTAGAAGAATGAAGATATAAAATCTATTTGTCTTCTTAGGTGTGAAAATAATTGCAAGAGAGGCTATTTTACATTTCCCACCCACTTCCTATAAATGTACCAAAAGGGCTCCAATAAGACCTCCCACTTCAGACACCAGACAGAATGAACCAGATGCCTTACATCTTCACTATTATGATGCTGCAAAAAGGAACTGCTCTGAAAGTACTTTGACCTATAAATATCAAGGCTGAATTCAAAATTCAATGGTGAACTCTATGTCATAATGATAGACAGACAAATAGAGAGATAGATAGACAGACAGATACATACATACATAGAGGGTTTTTATAGATGAACTTCTTGTTCTGGAAATACATGACTTACTCAGACTCTGGAGGCTTCTTTCCAAATATCTGGGATCTCTCATCCTTGGTAAGAGATTTTCTGCCTTTTTCACTGGAAAGGAAAAGCATTAATTTGAAACTATCCACAAGTGTTTTCTATCTCTGGCTTATGATTTGAGCTAGTCAGACATGAAACTGGAGAAAAATTAGATAAAACCTAACTCTAGAACTAGTATTCTGTGTCCTGGGTCTGGCCAGGCCAGGGTTAATTTCTGCAGTAGCCAGGAGGGGATATGGCCAGGACCTGGAGGTGATTCTCTACCTCTCATCATTGTGGGAGTGGCTGGAAGGGTCCCTGCTGTTGGGGAATTTGGTGCAGTCTCAGGGGTTTGCTCATGGTGAGCATTTACATGTGAATCACTTGCCTCTCTTGCACACTTTGCTATTAACATTGCTGCTGTTACTATTAGTTTTTTTATCTCAATGCTGTTTCTAATAAATTGTTCTTATCTTAACTTTATTTTCACCTTTTGTGACTCCAATTTTCCTCTCCAGCTGCTGCAGGGAAAGGGGAGTGAGCAAGCAGCACCGGGTTTGGAGAGTTTTGCTAGGAGCACAAAATTGGGAATACCATTCCTAAAGCATGACAATATAAAGACAGTATTTCCATGGAAAAAGATTCTCAGAATTCTCTTCTACTCTCAGTTGCTCAAAAATTTTTTGTTGTTTTCACTATTACAATAGCTCATTTCATCAATCTGTGGACAAAGCTGAAGACAAACTATTTAGACACACCTAAAAATTAAGCCACATTGATTTAGGGGTTAGTCTATATTTCAACAACTTCAAAATACAAAACAGCAGCAGATGAAGAAGAATTTTATTTTTCCAGTCAAAATCTGGGGGGGAAAAAAACCCCACAAAGCTGACCATGTGGACATAAACAAGTAAGAGATTCCAAGTGATAAGCAGCAGATGGAAAGAAAGCTATACAAACAAGCACTAAGAATCTTTCAATGGATTGACAAAGTTTAGGTAAATTCTTGCATAGGAATATTTAAAGTGGAATTCCTCCTTTTAGGGGTCTCACCTTTTTTTTCTCTTGGTTTCATCCCGAGATGACCTCTTGCTAGAAGACTTCTGAGAATGTGCATCAGATACCCTCTTCTTTGCTGGGGGAAGAACTGCTTACAGTTAACAAGGAAAGAAGAATATTGCACAAATGCCAACTGAAGTGCTTTTTGTGTGTATATATATATTGTATTCTTATTTCTATAACATTTCCTTACAATATGGAGGGGACAACTACAGGAGCAATCATTTCTGTCAGACAGTAACCTGCAGTAACCCAGAAGTGGAAACAGAAGTAAAGGTTATGTGCTGGGGCATGAGTCCCAGGAACGTCACAGAGAATACATGGTAGATGGAGGAAATTTAAAGCAAAGTGAAGGCATGTAAAGAAAGAGAATGAATGGGTTACATTCACAGTATTGGTGGCCATGGGGACTTGCAGATGTGGAAGAGATTTAGGATAGCTTTGGAAATGGCTGGAAGAGTCAAGGTCTGCAGGAGAGAGATGAGGAAATGGGAACACTAGGTAGGAAACATCTGGGGTTACCTCTGTGCTCACCTTTGAGCAGATGATGATACAGTGTGAGAAGGATCCCTGATTCTCTATATATTGATTTCTGCTCAACATTTCTTTTCTCTACCCCATTTCTCTTTTGCTATCACAAACACAGGCACTCTATAATATTATTATCTCATTCTGCAGCTTTTATTGCTTTAGGAGCTCCAAATCATCTTTATCTAAGTAAAGATGGTCAGGGAAAGAGCTGAGAAGCACAACTATCTCAGAGTTCCTAGCATAGAAGCCACTGGCCTGGACCATGCTAGACCTGTGCAATAAAATGCCAGGAACTACAATTTAGATGAAAAGAAAATATTAAAAGAAATACAGGCACACCTGGATTCTTTTTCCCCCGATTTAGGTCTCGGTATTTTTTTGATGGGTCAAATCTGAAAAGAAAAAAAAATAAAGAGCTAAGTACTAGTGCATATCCTATCATTTTATGTTCTATACTATATTATATAGGAAACTAGGCAATTTCTCTATCCCTATCATGTGCTAAATGAGTTAAATTTCTGAGATCATATTTAACAGATAGGATTACTTTTACAACTGACAGTGTATATAGAAGTAATTTCATAGGACTGATTGTTTAACTGAAATTTTGGAATTTCTACAAGCAAAACTGCATTCAAATACTGTTTGGAAATCAAACATTTGTCACACTCTTCATTTTACACTTTGTATATTCAGTCAACTACATAGCAGGTAGTCACCTTTAACTAAAATAAGGCTCTAGAAGACAAAAATTAAATACCTAAAATTGATCACTGTATACTAGATGTCACTCACAAAGGGGTATTTTTGGCTATGAGAAATCTTGGTTTCAAAGAGAAAGCAATCTCAGCTTAGACTGATTAGGAAATATCTAGTAGTATTACCTATGACCAGTCTATTCACTAGTTCTGGGCAAAGAAAATATAAATAAAGACATGGACAGAAAACTACCTTTAGGCAAACAAGTACTTACCCAGCTAAATTTCCAATAGCTTTTATTGCCAAATCATCAAATATTGATGTGCCCATTCCACTTGGATTTAACAAAGGGAATTTGTCAGGATCCAGTCCCATCACCATCCTTTTGCTCTCAGAACTGAGACTGTCTCTTGGAAGAGCAGGAGCAATGGAACCTTGTGACCTCCAGTCCACGTCAGGAGTGGCTGAGTGCTCCTGCAATGTCCCATCTGTGCCAGCAGTGATGAGGGCCTCCTGAAATGGGAAGAAAAACAAAGCCCTGTAGACCACAGCAGGCAGTTAGTGAAAGCATTCCATGGACTGACTGACTACTAGAGAAGATTTTCTAAACTAGACAATATCTTGCTTCACAGGCTCAAATAAATTTTTTGTCATTCTAACAGCAATGTTGTTACAGCTATTCAGCTCTAAAACACTTCAAAGCAGTTAAGAGTAGTTTTTTATAATCATTTTTATAATCATCATACATAAACAGTGTTTAAGGATATACTCTTATACTCCCAGAAAAGGGAGGAAAGAAAACACAACTCATTTGATAAAAACAAAATCCCTCCAGGACACATCTGGGATTTTTTAAAAAAATAATTTAAAGAAACCTGTGAAATATGTACTTCTGAATAGTGCTACACCTTGAAAACAAACTCTTGTGAAGAACTGAGCAACTCATTGCAATGCCATGTATCTCTTCAGCATTTTGGAAACTTGGTGATTTACTCAGCCTCTTAAAAAGGCTGTCCTAATGTTACAGTGCCTTTGACATCTCAGCATAATGCAGATTCTCTTTTCATTTGAGAATTCAAAGCAGAAATTCTAAATAGCCATTAAAACATGTACATAAGAAAATTCTGTCAATATTAAATAAAATACAGAGAATGGGAATGTTATCTTACAGTGGCAGGTGGGATATTTGTTTTTACTACAAAACAGTCAAGATACTTGCTCCTCTTTTCCAGCTCTTCCAACATCTCTCTGGCAAAAGCATACAACTCTTCAGCAGTTAAAGCCTGAAAGATATGATAAAACAGATGGTATTTACTAAACTGACTGTTCTAACCTTTTCACACATGCTGACTCTTGCAAACAATATTATTTGCCTTTGTTCTGTCACCAGTTTATGTACACAGACATGGAAGCAATGAGATTGTAGAAGAGGTTGAGGTTTTCGTTTGGCAAACAGGAAAACAGGTACTGACTGTCCAAAAAGGACTGTTGGGGTTTTAAACCCAGCTGGAAATGAAGCATCACACAGCTCAACCCTCCTTGCCCTGATGGAATAGGGAGGAGAATCAAAGGAAAACTTGTAGGTTAAGAACAGTTTAATCATTGAAAGTAAAGTGAAATTTAGTGATAATGGTAAATAATAATAATAAGAAAAAGTTAAAAACAAGTGATGCACAATACCATTGCTCACCACCTGCTGACCAATGCCAGGCCCCTCTTCCTGAACCCAGAATGGCCCTTCCAGGTAACTCCCCCAGTTTATAGACTGGACATGACACTCCATGGGCTGGAATATCCCTTTTTTGGCCAGTTTGGGTCACCTGTCTCAGCTATGCTCCCTCCCAGTTTCCTTTGTGAACCTCCTCAGTGACAGAGCAGGAGACAAGGAAAAAAAAAGTCCTTGACTTAGGATAAACAGGACTTAGCAAAAACTGAGTTATCAACACCATTCTTATTCTGAATTCAAACCACAGCACTGTAACAGCTACTGAGAAGAAATTAACTCTATCCCAGCTGAATCCAGGACAAGGACCTTTCTGAGCAAAAATTCTGTGTTTCTGCCCAGCCCCAAATATAAGGAAACATAAGTCTTCCTCAAAAATATTAGTTTATACCAACTTAATAACAATTAATAACAAGTCAAATTAAATACCATTACGTGCTGATTAGAAGTTACTTCTTTATCTGCAGTAGAATGAACATAAGCATCTCTCTTCTGCTGAATCTTTTCCAGGTAAGACTTTATTGTGACTGACTGCAAATTGGAATTTGCTACCTAAAGCAGAAACAAACTTTAGGAAACTGGAAAAGTAAAATCCCTATTCACAGGAATTTCAGAGGCTCCACTTTCAAACCAATAGAACCACTGATAAAAACTGGTTAAAAATCCCTGGTACTCAGAGAAGTAGCTGAAAACAATAATTCACAAAAGCAGCACTTCAATGTTTGCTGCACCACACAAAAATATTGGTGAATTCAGATGTACATTCTCAATGTGCTGCAAGACCATAGTGTTCCAGCACAGCTGCAGCAGCATTAAAAATAAACTTTTAAGTGGATACTGACAGAAAACCAGTTTTAAATTAACATAAAGAATTATGTAATATTTGTCCACTATGAATTCAGCCAAAATCTCCTCAAAGGTGTAAAAGAAAATTATATTGAATTTAAGCAAAGTTCTGATGTTCCTGTTTGTACCTCTGATTTGATTTGCTGTCGTAGCTTTCTCAAATATTGATGGACCTTCTCCATAAAGGCTCGGCTCAGAGACAAAGAAGCAAACTTTTTTCCACACTGCTTGAAAAGTTCAGTAGCCTTTAAGAATGTCAGAAACAAAAGACAGGACAAGATAATTTTCACTTATTAAAACTCAAATGATAGAGCTTGCCATTCTACTAATTTTTTCCATCACGTGACTGCCAAACAGGACAGACTTACAGCTCTAATCTGAAAGGAGGCTGACTGCAAATTGCATCAAAAATGTCAATAGAAAACATCATTTGAAATCATATCAATCTGCATACCTGATTCAAGCAGCTCGATTTTATTTGCTCCACATCTGTCTTGACTGAACTTTCAACCAAGTCAATTTGCTTACTTTCTTTCTGGAGACACTCATTGAAAAACTTTACCTCCTCAGATGCAAAGTTACCACTCTCTGAAAATAATCTGAAAGCAAACATATAAACAATTGGCTGTGAGTCATTTTACTCCAAGACCATTTTAGCTAAACAGCCCTGAAACGACACAAATGTGATGAAAACAGCATAATAATTGTGGTTTAACAAGATACATTTCTTTTTCTAAATAGGAAACCAGATGAAGAACAAAATAAACTTTACTTTTACTCTTCTGCCTATGCAACAAACACCAATTCACAGAACTAAGTCACCATTTATAAACAACACTTCCATGAAATCAATGTACCTGCAACTTTTGAGAAAATCCACATTGGAATCCCTTAATCTTCCAAAAGCTTCCTCCAAGTGCTGCTGGTAACTTCTCACAGTAACCCTGATTGATTCCAGCTGGTTGTAGAGCTCTGATTCCAGATTATTGCTGGAAGAAGCTGACCTAACAGCAAATAATAAAAGACAGGGAAAACATGTCTGAAGAGGAACACACAGGATGATTCAGCAAGTGCTGGCTGTAAAGACATGAGAAAAACTGAGGACTCCAAAGGGATTTATGACTCTCAAAGCAACTCCCCGAGCTGGGATGGTTTGGATGAACCCATGGAAGATATCAGCAACAGCTGATACTATTGGGCACTTTTCTTCAAAAACAGTCAACTGAAATTACTGTGCATGTTCAGTAAACTGGGTAAAATCTAAACAGATGAAACATCTTTTCTACTTAAAGACTGCCAGCACTTTGAAAGGAGATGAGAATTCCCATGTGTTCAGTATTGATTTTAATTTCATCAGGGAAAGAGAATGAAATTCTTTATGTTTTCAAGTTTTATGAAGTAGTCTTCCTTGAAGAGCAGTTAGATATAAAACAGGTTCAGAATGCAAACCATAGACATCTCAGACAGCAATGAGGAGTATTTAACTAGGGGGATTCACAGCAACAGCAGTGGCACACTTACTGCTCAGTCACAGGAGCGTGGAGCAAGTCATACTCCAAGGTTTGGACTCGGGAATGGAAGTTTGTGTTGAGCTTCTGTAGCTGGTCTGAAAATCTGAGGAATTCAGCTTTCTCCCTTTCCAGGCTTTCTGCCAGCATTGCACAGTGGCACTCAAGGTGCTCTTTGTGAAGTGACAGCTCCGCTGAGAGGAAAGGAAGTTTACAATAGGGACATTATTTCCTCTTTACTGTGAGCTAGCACAATGCCCAGTTAACCTGTGATCAACTGCAGCAGCAAAATAAACAAAGCCAGAGCTCATAGTCACTAAAACATACAAATTAAATACATTCAATTTCATTTCTTTGACTTTTCTCCTGTGAAAGACATATATCCTTAACAGCTCCTAATCCATTCAAACCACAAATGTCTCTTGTTTACACTAAGCATTTTCCTTTTTTTTTGGTCATTGCTGATATCTCCATTATCTCTCTGTTGTCAGTCTTGTAAGAAAACTAAAGGTAATATTTTTTTAATGGAAAATACACTTTTCCTGGTTTTGTGAGGGAAAGAAAAAAATAGGTTTTGGTCTCTCTTCTGGAATGATAGCTGCATAAATCAAGAGTCAGCCCATCACCTCAAGAAAGATACCAGAAGAAGCACCTGTCCTCTCTGCAGAAAAAGGGAAACTGAAAAATTATTTGCCTGTTCTTCAAAAGAAGAATTTTTAGCTTATGTATTAAAGGCCAACAAACCAAAATATTTTTTCTCACCATAAAAACCAGACACTTCCCATGCAAAACGGATTTTCATTACAGGATGCTCTGCAGCTGCTCAGTGATATTTTACAAAGACAAATCCTCCCTCTCATGTTTTTAGAAGCTTGGCCCTGACATTTTGGCTCTCTCAACTTGCTAATTTCTTTTTCTGCAACACTTGTAAAATATTTTTTGTACACCACAAACTCTTGTTAAATAATTTCAGTGTGGATGAGAATTCACAAACATTGACAATAGAATGTTCAACATTTTTTACAATCCAGTTGTTAATCAAGGCACTGCTGTCTATTTTTCCAAAAAATACACAGCACAAACCAGGAAGAGCTATAGAACAGAAATGTCATTTAAAAAATATGTGAGTAACATAATATACTGGAAATTCATAGACACTCAACTGCTTTCTATTGTCCTCTAATACTGAGTCAACTACTGCTGAAACAGATTTTGGCCCACTTAGGACCATCTCTAAATGAAGACATGTGATGCTCAGAACACAAAAAAATGTCAATACCAGCTCGAACATTGTAGATATTTGTCTGTATCTCCTCCTGCTTTTGTTGATGCAACTTAAGATGCAGCAGGAGTATTGAATTCAGCTCCTCCTTCTTGGCAGCTACAAGGACAAAGGAGTTGGACAAGGATTCTGCAAACCATTTCTCCAAGTGTTCAAAAAAGCAGAGGCGAATCCTATGATTGAAAAAGAAATATTACAGTGAGGAATAGTAAATAATAAATAAGAATTTATTGAATATATTATTTCTAAGAATTCAACTTCTGGCTATAGGAAGGTACTGTTTCAGTACCATTTGCACAATACTGGTAGAGTTTTTGAGCTAGCTGCTTAGTACTGAGTACCATTTTACCTTCATGGCTCTGCAGTAAAGTTGGGCAAATTATCTGTCTTTCTGTAATATCTTTTCTCACTAAATAATTTTCCATAAAATATGAATTTTCTGTAAAGGTAAATGTTTTTTTGGTACTTTGACAGCCATGGATACAAAGCAATGTAAATATTTTCTCATATTTGTATAAATTTAAAAAGTGGAATAACATAATAATTGTACGATCATAATTTTATAATTAAATATCTAACTATATAAATTATATACTAGTAATTAGATAACTTTGCCTCTCTAGTCTAATGTTTCTTCTAAACAGCTGAAGTTTGTCCATCACATAAAGAGAAAGAAAGAACAGAAATTGTTCTCAGCTCACCTTTCTTTCAGTTCAACAAACATGGCTTCCGTGAGAAACACATATTTCAGGTACATAGGAAGTGATTCTTCTTCTTCATATTTTGTAAAATAACTCCCTGTGATGTTAGTTTTTCCTGTCTGTTCAAGTCCAAGAACAGTGTAAGTGTTTCCACTAGCAGTGGGAAAAACCCCTGTGGCAATTTCAGCACTTTACCCCTCACTGCTCTTGGCCACTTACTGGGAAATTGTTGGAAATTATCACATTACTCTTAAAAGTATCAGCATAGAATCAACAGTGCACCAGCAAGTGTAAGAATCCTAAGGATAGTTAGAATAATGTTCTCATTCTCTATTTGGACATTTATACAGTGCTGGCAATATTTATATATATATATATATATATATATATATATATATATATATATATATATATATATATATGTATGCTGGCAAGACATAGGCAGAGTTGACAATGTTTCAAAGGGTTTTTGTTATGGTAATAAACTCATGGAAACTGAAAAATTAATACTTAGGTATAAATACTTAGCTTAAAACATTCACCACAGGCTGAGGACACTGAAAGACAGATTAAAAAATTATGCAAAGGGTTTCTACAAGGGTAAAAGATCCAAAAGAATGGTTGTGAACTGTTTTATTCACTCCATTTTCCCATAAAAATATCTAAAGCCCTGTGTGCTTTGTAAGCAAACTAAGCAAAAAATGGCTTTCTACTCATTCTCAGCAAAAAGACTTCCTATTCCTCCTTATTTTGGACAAGACTGCCTTCACCTTCAAACTTATTCTCTTGCTCACTTACCTGTGTAATGCTTAGCTCCTGTTCTGCATGCTCATTTTCTTCACTTTTATGAGAAACACTCTCCTTTTCTTCTTCTTCTTCTTCTGGTTTTTCAATTTCCTGTGCCAAGATCACCTGTTTCTCTGTTAGCTCTATTTCTCCAGCTGACTTTTCACAACTGTCCCTATCCCTATCTTCTGGCAGCTGTTGAGAGAGGTGATCATCCTGCTCTGCTCTGGGCTGGGATGTCCTTGCCTCGAGCCCTGGGGACAATTTTGGATGTCACAATGTCAGAGAGACATAAAGCTATTAGAGGAATCTCCAAAGGAGGGACACAGAGATAGTGAAGGGTCAGGAGGGGAAACCATACAAGGGGTGGCTGAGGGCATTTGGTTCAGCCGGAGGAGACTGAGGTCACACCTCACTGGCAGCTGCAGCTCCTCTGAGGGGCAGCTTTGATCTCTGCTCTCTGACCAGGGACAGGGGAGGATTACACTGGATATTAGGAAAAGGTTCTTCCCCAGAGGGTGCTGGGCACTGCCCAGGCTCCCCAGGGCATGGGCACAGCCCCAAGGCTGCCAGAGCTCCAGGACAGTTTGGACAGAGCTCCCAGGGATGCACAGGGTGGGATTGTTGGGGTGTCTGGGCAGGCCAAGAGCTGGACTTTCACAAACTCTATGTGTCCCTTCCAACTCAGGATACTCTGTGATTTTCCTCTCCTTGCACAACACTCTCAGCTTGCTGCTCCACCATATGCTGACCTTCTGAAGCCTCAACTACTTACTTACAGTTAAAGCAGAGTTCTTCTGGTTACAATCCAAAGAAATACAGATTGAAAAACAACCAAGCAGTTGTTTATACCTGCTTGGACTGTTGAGGTATTATCTTGATCTTGAACTGTGGAGTCTGTTGTGACTTGCAAGTTCTAAAAGCAAAACAACAACAAAAAACACCTGCCAGACCATTTTAAAATATGGATTTGCTTTCTTCTAAGAAATCCATATCCCTTCTCAAAATGTATTTATTTCAGTAAGATATGATAGTCTTGAATAGATCACTAACTATCTAAATAATCTGCATCACTCAAATCAATTACTGTAAATGTGTTACCTTGTAGTTTTCTGTTCAAAAGGCAAATGAATTTACTAAAATTCTGTTTGTAACAAGGACAGAGTTAAAAGTGTGGGACTGAGAAATGTTTTGGTTTCCCTCTGCTATCTCTACCAAAAGCACTTTATTCAATGGCTGAAACAGTACTTTAGATAATCTGAATTTTAAAGGTAATGTAAATTTTCTCTAAAGTGAAAAAGTAATACAGCAGTAAGGTTTTAAACCAGAAGAAATTTTCTTTTTACCTCTTTGATGATTTCCTTCACACTAAAATGCTGGCTGATGGATATACTGTAAGAAATCAACTCCCACAAAACAGCTTTTGGATAAGCCATTACTTCATTCATTACAATCTGCTTGAATGTCTCATTCCTGCCAAATTTAAGGTCACTGTTTAAGAGACTCAAGTATGTATAAAAATAAAATTAAGTGTGACTACAGTGCCTTTAAATCTAAATCTAACTTTTCTGATCAATCTCATAAAATCTTTAGGCTAAACATTGCCATTGATCTGTTTATAGTGAATACAATCACATCCTGCCTTGTTAGAGATTAGTTCATTACAAATAAATAAATGCACAAAAGTTCAGAAATATTTATAATAAAGCCTTTTACATCCTTCCTTTTGGATGGGAAACCATTTAAACTGCTTACATAAGAGAGGTCAATTTACTGTCTTCCATGTTAGTTCTGCACTGTGCTCAGCTGTGACTGAGCCTTTCTGGTTTATTTTCATTTTACTTGAAAATAAAAACTAACGGTTCAAGCTGAGTCTAGATTCAAGAAGAATCAATGTTCTCATTGTTTTCATTTATATTTACATTTGCTTTGTCTCCTAAACAAAGACAATTATGGGAAATTTATGTATGTGTTCAGATAGGTTACGTTGTATTTTCACTTGGTCTATTACCTCTGGCTTTTAAAAAATTGTTTGAATGATTATTAAGAGCATCAAACTCCCAGCTCCAACCACAATCCCAGAATGAGGTGTGTGAATCTGCCCCTCCTGTCCATATTGCTCTTCTAATATACCTCTGATTTAACAGGCAGAAAAAGCTTCCTGGGTGTGAGAACAGAGCTGCTTCCTCTCAAGTTTCACACCTGCTGCTAATATCTTTAGCAAGGAGAGCAGTATTGTACCAGTTTTTAGATGGTTTTTAGGGCTGAAAATGCCTAATCACAAGAAGGATAACCGAGAGCTTACCAAAGTAAATACTTTGGCTGCTTAAAGATCTTAGTCCTTGCAACTTGGAATGAGATCAAGTCTGTGAGTGCAGATGTGATGGTGCAGACCAACTTCTGAGTCCTGTGATTCAAGAATCTGAACTACTACTTTTACCTTCTGAATGAGGCATGGATGTGACGGTATGCACAGTAATACTGATGTGGTATGGTTTTTAAAGGATAACAGTCTGTCTTTGTCCCATTCCTAAACTGCATTATGTGCCTTAACCTTGTTCAATACGTACATTATTTTATATTCTTACATGAAGTCTTTTTCCATACCTTCACACAACAGCATAAACAAAGTCTAAGTAGTACCACCCATGTTAAAATATGCTTTACTTTTTAAATTTGCTATACAAAATTCATACCTCGTTCTAATTTTATCTAAAGAAGAAAGGGCACTCTTCAAATATTCCTCCAACTCTTCTTCACAGCTGGCCATTTTCATTTTTTCCAAATTTGTATCCAGATTATCTTTCAGCACCTGAGGCCACATTAAAAAGCTAGTAAAAACAGTTTAGTATATACTAAAATCTCCATAACTATTTAAGATTGAAGTAATTTGATTATGTACATATATTCTACACCAAGACCTTAGCAAAACTCATCACCTATGAAGATCTTCCTAGATAATAAACAGCTCTGACATTGCCACCCCAAGCTGGCTGTTTTAATTATGAGAACTTGCCATCCAACCAGGCTCCATACCTGCACAAGATCTCATAATAGCAACTTGCAGCCACTTTGTACTGAAAGCAGCAGTGATCTTTATCACTTTTGCCATATCAAGAATAAGACAGGACTGTCCATTCAGTGTGAATCGAGCAAAAATGCACCTGACAGAATGAAACTGAAAAGTAGAAATTCCAATATAAAAGTCAGATAGTATGTTTTTCATTTTATAGCAGCTATTTTGAATTCCAGAGGGTTCTTTGTATTAAGAAGTCCTTTCTTTACATTATGCCACATCCTTGTTTTTATGTTTATACCTGTAGTACGTTATCCTTTTCCAATCTGTATTCATCTACTTTCTTCTGAAGTACATCTTCCTGCTGGGAAAGTTGGAGTAGATGAACATCCCAGATATCCATGGCCTCCTGAACACAGCTGTACAAGCCTTGACAGTGCTGCTCATGCCATTTGGGCATCTCCTTAAAATCACTCTAAAGAAAAACATTCAAGTGAACAAGTTATTTTTCAACTGCTGGAAGGTGACATGAATGAGTAAGAGAATTTGTAACATGATAAAAGGAATTACATGACTGGTGTTCAACACTGTGTCTTCTATGTGGAGAGTAAAAAAAAAAATCCAAGTAAACTGGGTAAGAATGTGGATTTTTATTCTTTAAGCCAAGAGTATAAAAACTTTTGTTTATTCTGGCATCATAAAGCACCGAATCATATTCTACAATTTATCTCTTTAGGAACAACTCCCCAGTCATTTTTATGCATAGAATCACAAAATGTCAGACTGGAAGACATTTGGGGATCATTTATATCTATTCCTTTGCCTTTTGGCATATTGGGCCATACTTCATTCATCTCTATCATACTTCAGATATAAATTATAATAAAAATAAAATACATCACAAATAATGAACACAGTAATTATGAACTCTTCCACACCAAACTTTGTTTCTCTGCAGTGTTTAGTCATCCTATGAACCTCTCTCTAATGTGACATCAATAGCCTATGATGCAGAAGGCATTGCAGGTGGGAGCACAGGAAGAACAGACTAATGCCAAGGAGTGATAAAAATAAATGTAATCAACGTACATCCATGTGCTCCAGTTCTTCTTCAAACCTATTTTTTAGTTTCTCAGTCATCTGAAGCATGTTGGAATGCAAAACTTCAACATCTTCTGCTGTGCAAATGTTCATATCCAACAGGGTCATCTAAATGAAAAGAATAGCAAATTATTGACATGCATGAATTTCAGAGTTCATGGCTAAACTTAGTGTTTCTTCTCTTGTGATGGACAGAGAAAGACTCAGCTTCCTAGACCCCTCATTCTGTTAGTAAACACTACAATTCAACTGATACTGAGGGAGAAATTGAGGCAGAGAGGTGGAATTTCTTTGCCAAGATAATACAGATTTAGCACAAAGGCTGAGAGTCCTTGCACATAAATGCAGGATAGCACCCCCTTCATTACTTTTACACATTTCAAGTACAAATACCAAATACTACTGTGAAATCAAATGGGTGGTTACTCTTTGAACAGAAGAAGACAGAGGTTAAAAACTAGTTTCACTTGTTATCTCAATGTTTGGTGGATCCTCAAACACATTTTACTGTAATGACACACTGTACCATGGCTACCACACCCAAAGCTGGGACACTCACCTTGCAGGTCTGCACTTTTTCCTGACATTTTTCCTGGACCAGCTCATACTGGACATGCATTTTCTCCACACACTCTGCATTATGTTTGTCTGAATGATATGGAACAGACAACAGTCAAAATTCTGTATTTCACAGTGCAGTGTGAAAAGCAAAATGGCAGAGGCCCTGTGCTGAATCTCAGCACAGGGAACAGATCCCAGCAGTGTCTGCACACCCAAGTGACACTAACAACCAATCAAATAAGATCTTTTAATACACAGCTATTGTATTTGCTGGGACCCTCGTGGAAGGAAGGAATGATGAATCTGGCTCCATGTTCTCAGAAGGCTAATTTATTATTTTATGATACTATATTATATTAAAGAATGCTATATTAAACTATACTAGAGAATACAGAAAGGATACTTACAGAAAGCTAAAAAGGTAATAATAACTCGTGACTCTTTCCAGAGTCTCAACACAGCTTGACCCTGATTGGCCAATGAGTCAAAAGACACCAGAAATCCAATGAAAAAATCACCTGTGGGTAAACAATCTCCAAACTCATTCCACATGTGAACAAAACACAGGAGAAGCAAATGAGATAAGGATTGTTTTCCTTTTCTCTGAGGCTTCTCAGCTTCCCAGGAGAAAAATCCTGGGCAAAGGGATTTTTTAGAAAATGTGAATGTGACACACAGCTGTTTATAGGCACACTACAGGACATAGAGAAAGGAACTACCTCCAGTACTTCTTCCCCTCGAGTTAAAAAGGAGTATTTTGGTATGATTGAGAACTGATCCATGTCAAAATTAACCTTTTATTTCCCCAGATTAATTCTAACCAAGCCAGTTCCTGCTAGATGTCACCATGTACAAGTGCTTGTACCAGCCAAAGGAAAGTGATGTCACAGGCAGCTTCTTTGGGTCTTACTGCCAGCTCAAAGCAGCTGAGAAGGTATGTGGGAACACATGGAACAAAGAATAAACCTGCACTTTCAAAGCATTGCTCAGGAAAAAAGAAAGTATTGCTTGAATTCCTGACTGTTTTTATGATTTCCCAACTTACCTATACTTTTGTTTAAATTCTCCAGAGTTCTGTACCATTCATTTAGGTCAGATTTTGTATGAGCTGGAGGCAACAAGGCACTATCAAAGTAGGAAACAAGAGTCAAGGGTCTTAAAATACAAACCAGTCATTTGTATATAAAACTATTATAAAATACAAACTTATGAATCAGAGTATCCATACTACTGTGCTTTATTTTATTTACAGCCATCTTGGCAATAAAAATCAACCAAAGAGATTGGTGTTGTTCTGCTTACTACCCAACAAGGAATTGTAATGTACCTTGTTCCTACATCCACTGTAAAAAAACTCCCTGTAAATATTGTAATGCATTGCCCAAAAATGCTTTTGTGTTTAGGATGGATATTCAAATTCAGCAGTGTTAGATTTCTATCCATACTTCTCTCTTAATTTATTACACAGATTCAATCCCTACTTCTAGCTTTCCACCCATCTTTGTCTGCCCATTTCTACCACGTTTCAAATGTCAGTAAGATTTACTTCTGCATTTCTGCATTTTTAGCCCTTGATCTCACAACCTTTTTATTGTAGCTGGTGCAGTGAAAATCAAGAATGCATTTTTTCCATTAAAAAGAGCTGTAGAAAATTAGGTTTAGACCCTGTCTTACTGCTGAATTTAGCAATCACACACTGACAGAAAGCAAAGTGCATTTTGTAGCCAAGCCCCTCATTAACTCCAGAAAGAACTGCTTTCCTTTGTGCTATATCCTCTTTTGCCATACCCAATGTGCTGCAAAACCCTCATTCTCTGTTCACTAAGTACAATCTGCTCCTTTATCATGTTTTCCATTTCCATTTTCACAGCTGGGGGATTCTGTATTTCTTCACTTGCCATAAATTCCCTGCAGGATGGAATAAAGATATGTATAATGGATACATGATATCATATATGATATGTATAAAGAAAAAATAACTTTTTTTAACTTGTTGTTTCATAGAAACCACGAGTGAACACTAGTCACTTTGTGTTATTGCCTGAAATAAGATTGCAAAATTTCTGACCTGAAACTCCGAACTACACAGTTCTTTTGGATGAGCTTCCAGTCCTTGACTCTCTCTTGCCATTTCAGTTGATGCATTTTTTCTTTCTCAAGCTCTGATTTCATTAGATTAAAGAGCAGCTTGGCAGTTGCCCTCTCATTACCCAGCAGTGCTCTGTTTATATTCTGTGCATTAAAAAAATAAAACCAGGAGTAGAAGCAGCATACAACATGCAAAACCAAAACAATTTGTGTCTTCTACACAAAATGAGGGAAAAAAGAATACAAATGATAACAAATACCCTGTAAAGTAGAAATCTCTCTATATTTCAGTGATTGATAGGCAGAAAAAATTTATTTCAGCTGGGAAAAAAAGGATATTCTGGGAATATTCAGACTGTTATCCTGCCCCAGGTAAAACATTTACCATGGCCTTATCATTAATGAGCCTGTGAACATCAGCTGCCAAGAAGAAGGAAATTTCCTCCAGTTTCACAGTATATTTGGTGAGTACATCTGCTATCTGTGCAATAAAAGAATAAAGAAAAGCAACAACACAAAGTTAACTCAAATATCAGTTTCCCAAGTTGAAAAACTACATGAACAATTTTTCCATTAAAATGAATTCCATTAGATTAATTAATTATTCATTAATTAAATATATTAAAGTGAATTAAATTGGATGACACACAGATTGAGAAGTAAATTTTAAAATATTAATCTTAGTTATCTTGAAGACTGTTTTTTTCAGTAATTCATAAAAATAGTAACTAAAACATTCCACTTTGCTACTACTCAGCTGATTTCTCTTTAATACCTGTGATAATTAAGTGCTCTGCAGACAGGCTGCAATATGAATTTAAAAATCAAACCAAATTCCTTTCAAATGTCTGAAGGGAATCCACCAGTGCCTGTTTTTAAGTGAACACAAAATGAAACCAAATGTGTTCATCTCTGACATTTGTTGTAACTAATCCAACAGAAAGGTTACTGGTGATACTCTTGGACCTTTTCATCATACCTGAATCACAAAGAGAGGAGAAACTGGCACTGGTAGAACAAAGAGCTTTTCTTTGCCTACAAGGACAGTGCAGCAAGCTCTTCCACAGTCTATCCATTTTTTTATCCAAACATTTCCTATGATGTCCAATGGCTTTTACAGGTTAGGCTGAAGACAACAAAACTGCAACACGTTTGCTACTGACACCCAGCCAACCCAAACTAAAATCGAGCTAGGTCATGTCTATGCTCCTTCTCAGCTGCAGAACAGGTATGGCCCCCCAAAAATAACAGACCAAATGAAAGTTTGACCTACACAACCCTCCAGGGAAATAAAAGCAGCTCACATATTCCTTGCACCTTTAGTTTAGGTAATTGTGAAAGAAACAAACACCTTCAAACTAGGAAAACAGTAGCTTCTCCTGATTATGTGGGTGTAAAATGAATGAATATTTTATTGGTGAAAAGAAAGCAATCACCACACTACAGAACTAGTGGCAGACCTCTGACTCCTGTGGAAACCAGCTACTCTTTGCTCTGCACCCAGCATCATATCAGCAAATAACAGTCTTATGCTTAAATAACAGTTATTAAGGCTGCAGCTCACTTTCATGGCTCGACTCCTTTCAATCTCCTTTAGGGATTCATCCACTGCCCTAATCCACTTCCTTCTGTTTGAGGACTCCTCGTGGATCATATTCCAGAGTTCTTCTAAACCCTGCAATAAAAATCTACTCTCAATTTCATTGAGAAGTGAATATATATAAAAGAAAATTTTAAAAGTAAAACCCCAAAAATTTAGGACTCCAGTGAGCCATAAGAAGATGTTACACAGAGCAGATACAAGTAACTGAAGTTGAGCCAATGCTCTGAGCTGCCTTACTTCATAGGAGAAACCTTCCAAAGCCATGTCAGACGCAATCTTTTCAAACAGAAGTTTACTCTTTTCATCTGATTTCATCACTTCAAGCTGAAGGGATTCTTGAAGATTCAAAACAGAGGCTTCCATCTCCTACAATGGTAGGTCAGTGTGATCATTTGAATATTGGGCTCTCACCTTAGAACAGCACTCAAAACTGGATTAGAAACTCCTGCCTTACCCTGCCAATGCAGTCCAGCTCCTGCTGCATTTGTGTCACTGCTCCGTGGTGACGCTCCTGCCGCCGTTCTGCCAGGTACCTCCATGCACTGCTGCCTGCTTCCTCAGGAACTGCCAGGGAAGAAATGAGGATTCTATGGCCTGGAACTGCTGCTGCAGAACATGGGATGCATGAAAAATAAACCCCTAAATCTGCACTATGACTGCTGTAGTTAGTGAGGCTTTCACAGTGTGCAACATCTTTCCATGGGAAGTGCAATCTTAGCAAAGGCAGGTTAAAAATACTAAGAAATGAGATCTGATTACATCAAAACTGGAATTTACCATCTAAACATAACCTGGGATTGACTGACAATTTCACAACTGTTTGTTTTGTTTTTTTTTTTCCTGTTAGAAGACTCTTCATCTTCAAAATTACCTACAAATCATCAAAAATGTATCAGGACTTTTCTGAGCTTGATTTTTGTTGCCCTGCAGGAGAAAGAGTCCCAATCTGGGTGTAACCAAACTGGGTATTATACTCCCCTCCACCTCATTTTGTGCTGAGCTGTTAATGATGGGTGGTTTTCAGTGCACATCTGACCCCCAGGATTCAAGCTGGGTGTGAAAACGAGACAGACAAACCCTGCAAGGTGAAGTGGTGTTTCTTTATTCTTAAAATGATTCAGCTGGAGAAGTAGCACCATCACCCATCCAGTGAGGGTCATCTGTGCTAATGGGTCATGATGAACTGATTATGCACTGACAGCAGCATGGGCAGCTGAAACGACTATCATGGACTCCAAAAATATTCTAAGACTCATGGGATTACATCCTTCCATTCCACTGAGAGCCTCCCTGCACTGGGGGATGTACCACCTGAACCCCATTGTACATAATTTAGGCTGTCTGGGGACTTGGGACACCACCACCACTGGACATCTAGAGGAAGACCTGAACTTCCACAAGAGCACCCCTTCTGACAGCACTGCAACCCTGACCAACAGGGTGCCAGGCTGTACTCTGACTTGGTGGTTTTCAGGCAGTTTTTCTGTACCATTGCATTTCCTGTAATCTTTCTATTAAATTGTAACTCCAATTTGAAATCTCTCACAAGGTATTTGTGTGGGGTTAATTTTTCCTGCTGGCTGACTTTCAATCTGTACCTTGTTCAGCTAAACCTGTTACATGTACCACATCTCCTGTGAATGCAAATTAAAATAAAGCATTAAGGGAAACCAGTTTTACCAACTACATCAGGCAGGCCTCTGACTTTCTCAGCTGAACTTGTATCTACCTTTCCCCGTGCCTCTGGAAAAGTTGTAGATTGTCTGAAACAGAAAGAGAATAAAGCTTCATTTTGTACTAAAAGTGCATCAGAAGAGGACTAACATAATAGTATAATACACTTTAACTGGCAAAATTAACACTAAAATGAACATAAGTATCATTCTAAATTTAAAGAATGCAATTCAAAGAATCAAAATTGCTTCTTCTGAGACAAACTGAAGTCTGGGTAGATCCCAACTTCAAATCTATTAGGATGGCATTAGAGCAATACATGCTAGATTTAGAACTTGTAAATTACAGAGACTTACAGAATAGCTCTAAAATGTAAAAAAACTATGAACTCTTAAGGAGACACTAGCAAGAAAAAGAAATGTGGAAATAGCCTTTATCTGCTCAGTGCTTTTCCCAACAGCTTGGGCACTGTGTTTCTCCTTGGGGTCAGTGAGAATCCCTGTATCATTATTCAGCAACTGGCTTAGGGTAAAAAAGGATGGATGCATTAACTTCATTGTTATTCATTACATTATCTTACTGCATCATGATGTAAGCCATTTACTTGGAAATACAGCCTAAAAAATATGTGTCAGACTGGGTGTATATGTAGATTGCTATGAGCAAAGACAATTTCTTTTTAAAAGGAAAGCCATACAATATGCCTGCCATTGCAAATATTAGTCTGTTAGCCTGCACTTCAACAGGCAGCAAGCAGTTCATTATACTAAATTTACATTTGGCAAGGAGATAGACTATTACAAGTTGTTAGTGCTATGACCAAGAATTCAGGAGTTTCTAATTCCCAGTGAAAATCTGTCAATTTCCTACCTTTAGTTATGAACATATAATCGGGGTTTTCTGCTTCTGTTCCCTACCTGTCTGACTGTGGTGTTTTTGTGAAGTCACTGATGGGTGTTTTTCCAACACATGTTTTCTGTTGATTACTCAGGGATGGCAGGGCATCAGCAAACATTTCTGAATGATTATTTAGAGTGAGCTTTTTACTCGTCTTAGAGCTCCTTGTCTTCTTTCCTTCATCCAAAAGGTGGGCTAAGTGCACCTTCAAAGAACCATAATCTCAACAACCAGAATCTCTTCAAACCTACAGAATGGAAAACAGCAACAAAATAATTAATGAAAAATAGTAGGGGAAAGACAGCAGAAGAGAAAGGTAAAATAACGAACCCTAAAGTAACAAACCCTACATGCCACACACACAATCATTTTCACCTAAGGCTAACTTCAATATGAGAAAAAAAAGGATAATCTTTTCCTCAGAGAGGAAAAGTGGAGTAACTGGATCATGTTGCCTTGCTTACAGTTACCAAAACAGTTAACAGCAGAGTGAGAAATGCCTGAATCTGGCTAACTATGCCTCTAAATGTTTTACTGCTGTGTTATGATTCTGCCTTCAGTTAATATAACCTGATATACAACAAAGAGATGGGAACACATGTAGATGCATTGGAGAGCATATGCTGCAGATAACACATTACTTTTTTACTAAAACAAACCAAAACCAGAAATGTTGAAATTGACCTGGGGTCATTTCAACAGCCAGAAAACTGACTAACACAACCAACTCCTTTGGCTTTTGCCAAATCCTTTGCTTTTTTTACCTTGGCCTTGAAGATCTGTTTGCAGCCTTCCTCTTGTGAACGTGTCACTCCCGTCCTGTTGAGAACTCGCAGCTCATCACAGCTGACTGGCCGGGCCTGCTTCCAGGAGAACTGGCAACCACAAGCTGGGAGCCAAGAGGAGATACAACACTTCACTTGGAAAAGGGCCTTTTCCTTGAATCACAGAATGGTTTGGGCTGGAAAGGACCTTAAAGATCATCCTAGATCATCTTCCAACCCCCTGCCACGGGCAGGGACAGCTTGCACTGTCCCAGGGTGCTCCAAGCCTTGTATAGCCTGGCCTCGGACACTGCCAGGGATCCAGGGGCAGCCACAGCTTCTCTGGACACCCTGTGCCAGAGCCTCAGTACCCACACAGGGAAGGATTCCTGCCCAATATCCCATCTAACCCTGCCCTCGGGCAGTTTGAAGTCCTCCCCGTGTCCTGCCACTCCAGACCCTTTTCCCAAGTCCCTTTTCAGCTCTCTTGGATCCCCTTTAAGCACTGCAAGGGGCTCTAAGGTCTCCCTGGAGCCCACTCTTCGGCAGAGTGGACCCCTTGCAGCTCTCCCAGCCTGTCCTAGAGCTGCCTTCAAAGCAGCTCCGGGATACTCCCTCCTAACAGTGAAACTCCACACTTGCCGCTCACCTGCCAGCCCCTGCGGGTGTCGCTCCCGGTGTCGCTCCCCGTCCCCCACAGGGCCCTCAGGCGGAGCCACGCGTGCCGTTGTCAGACCAACGGGGCGGGGGGGGAGCGGGGCCGGCACAGCCTCGCCACGGTGCCCCCCGGTGGCCGCTGCCGGCAGCACCCGGCTGCCTTCACTTTATCCCGGACGCTGCCTCATCCCGGCTGCCTTCACTTTATCCCGGCCGCTTCCTCATAATCCCGGCTCCCTTCACTTTATCCCGGCCGCCCCTCGCTTCATCCCGGCCGCCTTCACTTTATCCCGGCCGCTTCCTCATCCCGGCTACCCCTCGCTTCATCCCGGCCCGCAGCCCCGGGAGGGACCAGAGCTCCGGAACCGTGGCTCACAGCCCCGGTTTGTGTTTGTCCCTGCACAAGGCAGGCGAGACTTCCCACGTCCGCACCTTCCAGCTCAGCACGGGAATGAGGTTCCCCCAGGGAAGTGGTCGCAGCAACAAGCCTGAGTTCAAGAAATATTTGTACAATGCTCAGGCACATGATGGGATCGTTGGGGTGTCATGGAGGACGAGGAGCTGGGCTGGATGATCCCGGTGGGTCCTTTCCAACTCAGCCTATTCAGTGATTCCATGATAAACATGCACAGGTGCAATTTGAGGCCATTCCCTCTTGTCTGTAACTTGTTATTTGCGAGAAGAGTCCAATCACCACCTGGCCACACCCTCCTGTCAGGAGCGTGCAGAGACAGAAGCTCCTCCCTGAGCCTCCTTTTCCCCAGACTGGGCCCCCCCAGCTCCTTCAGCTGCTCCTTGTTTTCCACCCCCTTCACCAGATCTGTTCCCTTTTCTGGACACACCCCAGTCCCTCAATGTCTTTTTGCCATGAGGGTCCCACAAATGACCCGAGGATTTGACGTTTGGCCTCAGCAGTGCCCAGAACAGGGGGACAGTCAGTGCCCTGGTCCTGTTGGCCACATATGGCTGGCAGAGGCCAGGCTACCCTTGACCTTCTTGCGCACCTGGGCATGTGCTGGCTCATGTTCAGCTGCAGTGGTGATTTCTCTCTCTGTTCCAAAGCAGCAGTTCAGTTTTTCTTTCTTTTTTCTTTTTTTTTTTTTACTAGTCAAGGCATAGCAGAAGATAAACACAAAGCAAGGAGGAAGCAGGTCCTTTCCAGGACGCAGAAGAATCTGGAGAAGAAAGCTTTGAGGAGTCTGTCACAAAGAGTGATTTCATCGAAATACCACAGTCCAGGATGCAAAAAAGAAGAGAAGCCAGGGAGCCTGATCATCATTCCCAGTCTCTGGCTCTCTGCTGACACTTCTGAGGCAGGACTCAGCAGCAGAGAGCATCTGCACCCTCTGGTGCCTCCTCTGCCCTGTGCGAGCAGTGCACAGCAGCTCTGGCAGGGAACCTGCACTGCAGAGGGCTGCTGCTCTTTGGCTTTTCACCTTTAGCAAATGATGCTCCGGGTCCTTAAACCGCAACCCCAGGACACTCCTCTGCCGAGGGAGGAGCAGCTGCCGCGTCTCTTATTGTTCCCAGCAGCTGAGGAATTGCCATGGAATAACTTCCAGCACACACCTTTCAGCTGGAGCTCGCTGTTCCCTCTGCAGACTTCCCGCGTGCAGGGATCACTCCCCTGCCGTTCTGGCAGCCGGTGTGAACTTCCAGCGGCCATCCATCCCTCCCTCTATCCATTCATCCCTCGGGCTGCCGGGGAATCCATTCCCTTGGGGAGCAGCAGGGCTGGAGGCGCTCGGAGCGCTCTGCGCTACCAGGGGCACACACCGGGCGGTGGCTGCCGGCACACGGCGGGTGCCGCCCGCTCCTGGCATCTCCTGTCCTGGCACGGAAGGACGGGAAAAGTCACCGATCTTCCACTTACCATGGAAAGCACCGCTCCTTTGGAGAAGTAAAAGTACTTCGTGCAAAAGAATTCTTTTAATAATTTTATTAAAATAAAATAAAATTTAATAATTATTTAAATAATTATTGCCTTGTAGCACTCTTGTTAGGACTTTTTAAAAACAATTCCATCTTACAGCCATATAAACAGAGCAGGTATTAGAGAGTGTGCTCAAATCCCCCAAAATTTCTGTGAAATTATTAGGAACAGAACATAATTTTGGTTACAGGTGATTCACTCTTCCTGTATGTTGGTTGCCACCTGTTGATAGCTGCCCTGAGACCTGGGAAACAAAAGCTAAGCCACAACCACAAAACAGCTATTTTACACTAATTAATTTTGGCTATCACATCAGATGAGGGGTTTAGTCTTCTCCAGAATTGAAGATTGGTCTCAGTGCATTGATCTTGGTTTACAGAGACAACAGCAGGTAGTGTTTACTAACATGCAAACAACTCCTTCTGTAGCCAGCAACTAATCTCAGGCTGGGATTACTGAGCCACCTATTGTGAAATGCCTGCATGGCAGTGGCAGTTCCATTTGCTATATTTTCCTGAGTAACCAATAGATTGGTTATTCCTTTCTCCAGCTAAGAGATCCATAGCCATGGAATGAGGATCCTCCTTCTGCTAAAGGGTTCATCACATTGATGTGACAACTCCACAGAATGTTTTCCTTGGCACAGCTCCCACACAGCCAATACTGATTAGGACTTTGATCCTTTGATTAGCCAATACTGTTTGCTGAGGTTGTGGCAGCCAGTGGTGCTGCTCAGCCCAGCTGTCAGTACTGCCATGGCAGGTTTGTGTGGTGCAGGATGGACCCCACTGCATTGTTTGCAGTTCACAGCCTGAAAAAATCCATTTGGGTATAGAATTCTCTTCACCAAGATGGCAGTGGATGGCTGGTCCTTGAGAGATGAGCCCAAACCTGACAGAAGTTTTATGTATGTGACCCCACAATTCCACCAATTCCATCATTCCCACTAAACAAACTCCTGGTGCCCAGGATGCTGAGCACAAATCAAAGAATTTGTTCCCTTTGAAGATTCATTAGCATGTAAGATGTATGAGTCAACAAATTAGAATCACAGCCCTGGTAAATTGTCCCTAAGAACAGTAGCCAGGGCATATTTGGGCTCACCTCATGGTGGCCTTCTAGTTTCTGAAGGGAGCATATGGGAAAGATGGAGAATGACTATTTCCCAGGGTCCAGGGTTTCAAGACAAAGGGGAATGCCTTCCCACTGCCAGAGGGCAGGGTTAGATGGGAAGAAATTTTTCCATGTGAGGGTGGTGAGGCCCTGGCACAGATTTTCTGGAGATGGCTTTGCTGGAGATGGCTGTCCCATCCCTGGAAGTGTTCAAGGCCAGACTGGATAGAGCTTGGAGCAAACTGGTCTAGAGGAATGTGTTACTGCCTATGGCAGGGAGGTAGGAACCAGATGATTTACCATATCTACTTCCAACCCAAACCATTCTCTGATTCTCTGAATGCAGATGAGTACTACAATAATAATAATAATAATAATAATAATAATAATTTCAAAACATTTTGGTGATTGTCATCAAGAAACAACATTCGAGAGGAAAACATTCTGAGCACAATGATGGTTTGTGCGATTATAATCTCTTCTACAAGGTCATGAAATTGAAATTTATGTTAATTACAGCCCATGGCAATGATTATGCTAACAAACTGTTCCACTAATTATATTTAGGTATTTAGATTGCATTAGCCGAGAAGTTTTATGCAAAGATTTGAATATTGCCTATATCTCATAAATAATAAAGACTATTAATGGAGATAATACATGCCTCAACCCACAATTACCGCAACATGTTTTAATTCAGCTGCTTAAAACACACAAGTTTAAAAATTGAATTAGGAAACATAGATACTAATCAGTTCTATGAGATTCACACTTGCTTATCTTTGAACTTGGTTTTTTTTGCTTTAAATAAGATGGAAAATTCAAGAAACAAAGTGAAACATCTTCCCTTTTCATACTGGAAGTTTTCTTTCAACAGGTATTACAGCTCTTTGAACCTCCCTCTAACCAAACTAGTATTGTACATATTGGGTTTTTACTTTCTGCCCATGAACCAGGGGATCCAGCCTGACCCTCAGTGCTGATCTCCCCATGTCACTTATAGACTCTTGAGCCAGGCCCTCCACCACACACCCAGTCTGGGGGCTTGGGCCTTGAAAGCAGCATCTTCTTTGGCCAGCTGAATATTACAACTTCATTGTGTACATTTGTACAGATATTTGGGAACTCAGCCTGGGAGAAAGAGGAAAGCATGGAGCAAGATTTTATCTTATATATTTTAAGAACACAACATTAAGCAACAAGTGTCTAAAATGGCAAAATATTTTTCAGCATATCTTTATAAAAGAATCTGAAAAGATAGACTGGAAGCTGGGAAAAGTAGAGTCTGAGTGTTTGTTTATCTGAAGTATTTGTGCTGGTTTGAGGCTCAAAAAGTTGGATAGA